GCACGATTGGTCTCGGCCACTACTGTCCTGTGCAAACTGAACTGAACTGAACTGAACTGGCCTTGAAAAGCGGCGCTCTGAACGAATTTTTCGGGCGTGGCGAAAATGTAGGGTTGCCCCGGTTTAAATGATTCCTTTTGTCTCCCAGGTCGAAGATTTCCTTTAAAATAACACTGACATCCGATCCAAATCTTCCTTTCAAGGTGTACGTAAATTCCTAATGGTGAACTTTTCCCTTTAGACTGAAAGTCCCGGAAAATGCTCCGTTTACCGCCGTTTTGAAGTTTGCCGCCGAAGAAGTGAGTCATTTAGTAGCCATAAGGACTTTTTCGTCTTTTTTTGCTTTCAGTCTAGCGGCATCTGCAACATTTTGTGGCGTATATTCACTTTTTTTGCGTCCGTAATGGTGTTTTATAAAAACTCCTCGCCTAATGCACGAAGTTCCGCAAGCATTGCTTTTTGAGAGTTGTTATTGGCTTCCTTCGCCGCGGTTTTGAAATAAATAATTTTCTGGGGAAAATTACTTGAAAGAAAAACGATTAGGTAATTTATCGTTTGTCTGCCGCAATTGTACTATCGGAACTTATAATCGGCAGTGCGATTTCCAGGTAAGGGAATAATTGAAGGCTTGGTTAACATGAATGATTGACCTGGACGTAGAGTAATACTGAACGTTGTATAGAGCTCCAGCTCTACACCGATTGGTATAACTGGGTTTTCAATCGTCTGTTGGCAGTGGATTTTTTTCGTTCTTGAACCGTTCGTTCGCATTTTATCAAAAAACCTTGCACCTTAGCAATCAGATTTTTACTTTTATTTCTTATAACAAATGTGCACAACAGAAGCTGATAGTTTTCTAAAGAAAAATATAAAATTAAGTATGCTAAATTTTCTTTAATTTGTGGGGTTGTTAGTAATTGAAAATGTAACATAATGATGCGTTTGAAAACAAGCAAATCGACACGGGGTGGCTAGATGCAAAGTTAATTAGATTGAAATCATGGAGAGACGCGTAGTAGGTAGTGTACGCAGTATTCAGCGCGGTATACGGCTGCTACAAACTGTCGCCTCAAGGGACAAATCTTTCTCTCTACAAAGCCACGCAAAGCCACGTTTGAATTTTTGTGAGCAAGTCTGGTCACTATCTCTTGTAAAGGACACCGTGGTACTATAAAATGTCCGGAGGAGGTTCACCAGGAGAATCAGATTGATGGAAGGTTTGGCTAAGAGCACTTCACCTGTTTTCTTCGATCCAAATCATACTATGGGATGACCTTGTGATGGTTTTCACGCAAACAAAAGGCTTATCCCATACGGGCACTCCGCTGATATCCAGAAATAATAAACTCGCCCGGCGAGGTATCACATGTTATCACCCATGGGGTTTCCGCCGCAATTGCTAGAATGACTGCATTAGCACTGGGTCAGTTGAACTTTTCACTAATATATTCTGCCCAGCGATTAAGTCGTTCTTCTTTACTGTGGATTAGCTGTCCACGTTCATCGCAAATAGTTGCACTGATTGGTATGCGATGACCTCCAGTGCTACATATCCAGTGAAACAGTCTTTGACTATTCCCTGATGCAGAAGCTACCTCCATTTCACTAGCTATTTTGATTCACCAATTTTCGCGATCTTTCTTGAGGCTATTTCTGAGTTGATGTTGCAGACGACACCGGTCCTTATGCTGATCCTGGCAGATTGGGATCTTCAGCTTTTGACCCATCAGGATTACTGACCTCTGAAAGATTCATTGATTTTGGTGAACTTCGGGCTCCGTCTCA